TGAGATCCTCCGCTCGTAGGGTATCCATAAAAATCTCGAGGGGATCAGGCTACTCAGCATCCTCGCCCGCGCTGGCGGCGGCCGCCGCCGGGTGCGGTGGGGCTGCCACTGGGGCCGGGCGGGGCAGCCCCTCCATGCCGGGCGCAGGCTGCGCTCCCTGCGCGCCGCCCCGCCGGTGGCGGCCAAGCGTGCGTGCCGGGTCGTGCTGTAGCTGCTGGCGCTCCGTGCTCGTCAGGTAGCACCGCCTCCAGCCGCTCGCGCTTTCCACGTCCACACCGCCCCACTGCTCCTGGCGTAGCATCGCCAGCAGATCCTGCGGGATGTGGTGGGCGATGACACGCAACCCCGCCTCCCGCGCGCCTTGGGGGACCTCGCGCAGCAGCCGATTGATCCGATCCATCGGGTGGCGCCCGTCCTCCAGTGGGGGCGGATGCCGCACAACCTCGCTGGCTGGGACCTCCACCCTGACACCCTCGAGGCTGGTCCCGATAACAAGTCGGGCGTCCCCGCCCGTGCCTCGTGCGTCGAGCCCCTCGCATTCACCCGGTAGACTGTGCCAAGGGCTCGCCGGGGGCGCGCCATATGCATCCTCGGCCCCCCGGGGGTCGTCTGGGAGTATCGGGCAGACCTTCACGAGGATGGGCTCCTGAAGCCACCCGTGATGCGCGATCCGATCGCCCAGGGCTCCACGGGCGGCGGACCGCGAGCGTTCGCTGGCCCTCGCATCCGCGGATCGTGATCGACGCGGCTGCGGTCCAGAGGCCAGAGCCTGGGCCCTCGTAGGATCAAGATCGACGGATGGGGCCACCGCGGGGGGTGGTGGCGCAGCGAGCGGGGGGTAGGCCGCCCCTGGCGCTACGCCTACCCCCTCGGCGGCGTGCGCGGTCCAGTCGCGCGCCTTGGCGGGGCTTGGTACCCGCGCTCTCATGCGACGGCGTAGGCCCCCGAGAATCCCCGGCTGGACCGTCGCCTCGACGCGCGCGGTGTGGCCCTCGCCCCGTCGAAGGTGCTCCCCGCACATCGGAGCCCCCCCACAGCTACCCTTCGCCATGCGGAGGCATGTGGGAAGGCTGCACTTGCGGCCGATGAGGGTGGAACGATACTTCTGAGCATGGTGGGCACAGACATGCACCTGGGCATTGAAGCAATGCCCCGGCCGAGGGACATCCGACACCTCTGCATCTTCTTGAAGCAGGACAGTCGCCTCCTGCATCCCTCGGTCACCGCGCCCCTCCGGCTGGAGGGGGCGTGCTCCGCCTGCTAGCTGCACCCCGACTTGCGCAGCTTGGCAGGGGCGCTCCTCCGCCTCCACCTCGCTCTCCGAATCGATATCCAGGCGGCGGTAACCCGTGGCGTCGGTGATGTAGCGGGGCTCCGGCCGAGCCCGGCACAGCCGTCCGAACACCGACCAGGGCAGGCAGAGCAGCCATTTGAGGACCCCGAATACCTTCCAGAGTCCCACGCCGACTGCCCGGCAGGCGGTCGCCTTTCCGTGCTCAACTAAGTTTACGATCTGCGTGTGGTCGATGGCCGCGTACTGGTCGACATGCATGGGATGCGCCACCGGGCATGATGCGCACTCGACGGCACGGCATAGATGCACGTTGCCGGTCTCCTCGAGGTTCAGCCGCCACTTGCGACTGGTGCACCCCAGGACCTGCCCGATCTTAATGTGAAGTCCGTGGCGGTCCAGCCGATACCGGTCCGCGAAATTGCAGCTGACGCGGGCCACCTGCCCGTGCTTACGCAGGAGCACGTGGTTGTACGCCCGATTAGTCTCCCGGCCGCGCACCCCCTTTGTGTAGAACTCCGTTTCCACTACGCCGCATAACCCCGGCCCGCGCCAGCGCACCAGCAGAGGCGCCGGGGGGGGCGGGGGGAGGTGGGCGCCGGGCCCGTCGCCTCCGCGCCGCTGGCAGCACCAGGTAATCTGGTACCACGCCCAGCGGAGCCCCCGGGCAACCCACAGCATAGGCTGAGCTGCAGTGTTGACGATGAAGGCCAGGGCACCCAACACGAACGTGAAGATGCCCAACGCGAAGCAGAGGGCCGCGGTCTCCCACCAGTACCCGAGCATCTTAACGCCCAGCCGATCGATGGCGGATCCAACCCAGCCACCGCTCGTGCGGATCGTGCCCGTGTGGTCGGGCGAGCTCACCCACGCACCGTAGCCCGCGAACTCGAAGACCCAGGCGGCGAAGCCCCAGCCTGGACCTGACTCCGTCTCAGGGGGCGGGGTGGGTGGCGGAGGTGGTGGCGGGGGCGCGCTCCAGCCGGCCCACCAGTGGGGCAGGCGCGGGACCCGACCGCTCCACCCCCAGTATCCATCCGGCCCGCGCAGCTGGTCAAGCTCGCCATCGCCCGTCTGGTTCTCCGGAGCGGATGGGCCCGTCGTTCTCCTCACGCGCCGGCGTGGCAGGGCTGCCCGGGGGCTCGCCCTTGCCTGCGCGCCCGGTGCCCGCAGGGGTGGTCGTTGTCGTCGACCTCGCCCGCGGCGGCG